ACAATGCCACAGAGATAGTCAGGTCACAAAAAAGTAGGATGGCCCAAAGAAAGTGGTATGTTAAGCTTTGCTGGTCCAATTCCTATTGGAATTAAATGCTTGGTCTAGTATCCGTAAGAGTTAGCCTGGCATCCATTCATTATTGTTGAGAGACTTAAACCTGACCCAGTTATGCAAAATATAAAGATTAGACCCAGGATCTAACTGAATTTACCTGAGCCCACAATCAGAGTGCTGAGGATTTAGCTGAATTCCTAATTATATTCATAAATCAGCAGATATGTATTATATTATTCTCAAGGTACCATATTAAAGTTGTTGGCTGAACTCATCAAAGAGATTAAGGAGAATTAAGTCCAAACAACATTAGCCTTACCATTCCAGAAGACCTCGGATGGGCTGATAGTTTAGCTAGGTGATAAAATGTGCCGTTCATGTCAATGCCAGACAGGTCATCACTTCATACAACCTTTCCCTCCCCAGCATTATCACTTCTGCAGAAACAATTTTCTAAAAGAATTATTTTATTCTTACCAAACAGTTTCTGTCCTTGGGGGCCAGAATGGACACAAACAATCCTGCCCAACTCTTGTTTTAAACACACTGTTAAGATTATATTAACTATTAATTGAGATGGCACAATTTCTTCAGTTCTTTAGGATTCAGTCAAGATTATGAACACACACACACACACACACACACACACACACACACAGAGGATCAAATATGAAATGATCATGGAATATATTATTATTATTTCCAGTATTGACTGAAATATTATTTAATTGGCAGAATTAATTAGAGGAGGATGGTTTTATGAATTCATCATGCATTAAAAAAATTATGTTGATCATATACCTTTTACCTTATTCACAGCTACCCATGCTGTGCATTATTTATAAAATGTGCTAACCTATTAAAATCACACTTCTTCTACCTAAGATTGGTTTACCCTACTTATGTGTTCCCCTGACATATTAAACATTCTTATGAAGATTGATATGCTTCCTTTCTGTGATGTTGTGTTTCTGCCTATTGTAGGGATAGGATTAATGACTGCACAAGCACACATTGGATCACATAGCATTAGATAACATCAGAACATCAGAAAATAGATTGGGACCTTGGAGGTCTTCTAGTCCAACCACCTGCTCAAGCAGGAGACCCTAAACCATTTCTGACAAATTGTTGTCCAATTTCTTCTTAAAAACCTCAGTGGTGCAGTGGTTAGAGTGCAGTACTGCAATCAACTCCTACTGCAATTTGGAAGATCAAATCTCACCAGGCTCAAGATTGACTCAGCCTTCCATCCTTCAAGGTGGGTAAAATGAGGACCCAATTGTTGGGGGCAATACGCTGACTCTGTAAACCACTTAGAGAGGGCTGTAAAGCACGATAAAGTGGTATATAAGTCTAAGTGGTATTGCTATTGCTATTCCCAACCTGTGAAGGCAAGCCATTCCACTGATTACTTGTTCTCACTGTCAGGAAATTTTTCCTTATTTCTAGGTTGGGTCTATTTTTAATGATCTGACACCTGTTACTTCTTGTCCTGCCTTCAGGTGGTCTGGAGCTTAGGTTGACCACACACCTCTCTGTGACAGTCCCTCAAATATTGGAAGCATGGCTGGCTGGGGAATTCTGGGAGTCCCCACATCTTGAAATAGCTTAGATTGAAAATGCAGGATGCCCAGATTGGAAAAAAAGGCTTAATGATTATTACAAACAAAACAAGCTGAACCCAACTTCTAAGTGACTTCAGACATAGCCATATTCACTAGGCCCAGCGGTCCTCACCCCTTGGGTGGCACCAATGGGTGCTTTTCACAAGAATATTGAGCGGTATCCTTATTGATTCGTTACATTGTTTCTGACAAACCAGCATTTTGTTCGTCCCACTGGATGGATTCTTCTCAAGTGGCAGTGGTTCTTCTCTTGAACCACAGTAACCCATGATTTTCTGAAAGGAAGCGGAGAAGTGAGGACTGTGAAATGCTGTGAAAATTGGCTGCTCTGTTCTGCTGGCTTACAGTGCTATTAATGTGTATTGTGGGAATGAGGTCCATGTCATTATGGAATACACAACTGGACATATCCATTTCAAAACAGGTAAAGGTACCTCAGCTATTCATTCTTAGGAAATATAGAAATTTCGTACTATTCATGTGTCTAGTAAGGTGTATTACTATACACTGTCAGAAAAAACTGTGTCAGTCCTTCAAGCTAACTGAGTCACACTGTAAGAAGAATTGTAGGAAGCTAACTACACATATTGTAGAGCTGGAATTCTTGATAATTAAATCACAGGGAATGGGGAGAGGGGAGATACTGATTTGTACAACATTCCCTTGACTTCAGGGCAATTTCTTATTACATTGGATGCAAGTTGATTATGCACACCAGATGTAGAAAAAGAATGCACCTTTCACCATTTTGAATCAATTTGGATATTCGGAAAGGAAGAAACAAATAAGAAATACTAATACTTGTATAAATACTAAGCCCAAAGGACCCTTTTTATTTTGTTTTCTATCTCTGCAAGCTAGGCCCTGTGATATGAATCCAGACAATTGCTACTTCCATAATGGAACAATAGTTTAGTATGAAATGGGAATCCAGCTGGTACCTTGATAAAAACTGCAATATTTTCCTCAAGATTCTCCAAAGACCCAAATGTTGTTTCCTACCCAATAACTTCCCAGCTCTGTCTGTTCTGAAACTGCTGGAATTATGCAGATTTAATTCCCAGGCTTGTAGTGGCAGGAAATTACATTTTTATTCCCCCATTTTTTAAAAGACAATGCTAGGAAATCTAGTTCTCAGAATTTTCGCTGTGATATTTCTATGAAGTATGTCCTTTTAAAATTATAATTGGCATGGAGATGGGGGGAAGACTTGTGAATACATCTTTTTTAAAACCTCCAAATTATATGAGCCATGGTGGTGCAGTGGTTAGAATGCAGTATTGCAGGCTACATCTCTTGACTTCCGGCTGCCAGTAGTTCAGCAGTTCAGTTCCCACTGGCTCAAGATTGACTCAGCTTTCCATCCTTCCAAAGTTGGTAAAATGAAGACCTAGATTGTTGGGGGCAATATGCTGACTCTGTAAACTGTTTAGAGATGGCTGTAAAGCACTGTGAAGTGGTATATAAGTCTACTTACTATTGCTATATAACCACTGCATTTGTAAATGCATTCTACACATATGTGTTTAAATCTGTACATTATATTCTGAATGTGTATTGGTATATTGCATATACTTCCTAGTTTGTGGGATTGTGATCAACAATGTATTTATATTGCACTGTACTTTCTATATTAGCTTGCACAGAATAGCAATAGCACATATTGGGTAAAACTGGATTGTGAATGTGCCAAAATCTGTAACTGATTGGTACTGTCCTTAGTGTTTGCAGGAAATTCTGCATGTGGATCAGTAGATAGGACCAAGGCTGTTAGCATAGCAATAGCAGTAGTTCTTAGACTTATATAATGCTTTATAGTTCTTTACAGCCCTCTCTGAGTAGATAACAAAGTCAGCTGATTTCCCCCAACAATCTGGCTTTCCATTTTACTGTCCTTGGAAGAATGGAAGACTGAGTCAACCTTCAACCAATCAGGATCAAACTTCTGGCAGTGAGCAGAGTTAGCCTGCAATAATGCAGTCTAACTACTGCACCACCATGGTTACTCTACAACAGGAATGTCAAACTCGCATCGTCACAGCATCGTCATGTGACATTTCATGACTTTTTCCCCCTTTGAGTGTGACGCATCCGGCCCACAGGCCGCGAGTTTGACAGCCCTGCTCTATGATGTCTGTGAAAGCCTCAATTGACCAAACCCATAATTTTTTAAAAAAAATATTATCTATTGCAAGGATAATACAAATCCAAAAAATGAACAGGAGGACATTCCAACACAAAAAATGGCTGGAAAGATATAAAAAAATGAGACCTAGTGATTGATAGCCATGCTCTTATTCTAATGGATGATGGCATTATGAATGACTAGGACCTGATTATAATAATCCTAAGATTAGAAGAAAACAAATTGTCCCAAAATTTCCTTTTCACTTGGCAGTGGTGTAAGAAACAAGAAATGGGGGAGGCGAGTTTATTAATTCAACTCTTCATTCAACTTTCCTTTTGTCAGCTGTTACACAGCCCTATTTTAGAAGCACCTTCCACCTCCTTGCAACTTCTATTCAACTTTCATCTTGATGAGGGGAAAGCCTAACCAGCCATCAGTTACTTTAATGCTTGCACTGAGAGTAAATTAGCTCACAGACTCTATTTTAATCCTCCTTGAGTAGGAACAATTGGACACAAAATGCAGATTATAAATCTGATTCTTCCTATTGTGCCTAGACTATAACTGAACAGAAGATAATAACAGAGTTGTAAGGGAGCCTGGGGGTCTTTTAGTCCAATCCCCCCCCCCCAAAGTCTATACGATTCCAGACAAGTGGTTGTCCAGTTTCTTCTTAAAAGCCTCCAGTGATGGAGAAGCCACTCCTTCTGAAGGCAAGCATTCCATTGGTTAATTGTTCTCAACCTCCCCAAGATGCTTTTTTATCTGCATATTGAAAGATAATTACTGGAATTTATTTATTTTATTAAGTAAAAATAAATGATTCGCAATTACTATGGAGAAATATTTTTGAACTGTATTAAGAATAATCTGACTTGCTGCAATACCCGTACAGATATATAATGGGTTGTCCATTTTATTGATCTTTTTAAAGTTAAATGTGCTCTAATTACTGTTCTATTTTATTTCCATTTTATTATGGTAATTATAGTTACAATATCTTCGTTCAGTTGGGAATATTATGAAGAACTAAAGCAGAAACATTCAGAATTCAATTAATTTCAGTAATATTTAATTGAATCTCATTTTATTTGGACTTTAACTAATGACTAGAACTAATTAGGTAATTAAAGTTATGTACATGCAGTTGCCCACTATATGTTCTAAGTGGTTAGGAATCCCCTTACCTTTAATATTAGTTCTCCAATCAGTCCGTTCCAAGTCCCATTCTCCAGTGGAAGTCCATATTTTTGATCAGGTGCAACATAAATTTCATATGTGAAGCCAAGGTAAGTAGATAAAGATTCCAGGACATCAATTGAGAAACCCTGATATTTCTTTGGTTTGCCCAGAACATTTTCTGACACCATCACAAATGGTTCCTCCTATACATAGAATAAGAAAGGAAAAGAAAGACACTTAGGGCAAAGGACATTCATATTTTCAAACATTTTTTTCATTATTCTTTACCCCAGTTTCCTCCTCTCATTTCCTTTTTAAACTTGTAAAACTTTGAGTGCTTATTGATAGATTCTGGTGTTTCCAAGTTGTCAACTGTAGGCCATTATTTCTATTTTATGTAACACAGAAGATATTCCCTGTTACGTATTGTAAGGCAGTTCAAGTCTAGAGGTAGAATGACTTACTCCATTTTTGATGGTCAAATAGCAGTACTTCAAATGAGTAGCAATGTGTTTTACTAGATCCCAGTAAAAAGAATTGCAAGATAGGGGAGACATGGAATACTATATGGTATGGGAAAAATAATACAATTAGTTAGACTGTAGAAATAAAAAATAATGTAAATATGTATATACTGACTTAAATGGAAATGTTGATGTCAAATCACTGTGAAGACTGTAAATATGTTGTTTTTATATGTGTTGTTGCTTTATGTGTTGTTGTTTCTAAATGTGAAAAAGTTCAATAAAATATTTTTTAAAAATAACATTGTTAATAGTACCGTTTACAGTTTAATTTTCTTGGAAAGCATGTTTCATAATATGAAGTTAAAGAGTATGGCACTATGCTTTGCGGGACTATGGCCCATTACACTGAAGTATATATTCCAATTCTCTGGAGTGGGGTTGTTATGAAGAAGCATGCATTTCTGGACAGAGAAAATAAGAATGGAATTAAACTTACCAAATGCATTTTTTCATGAAAATGGAACTATACATCCTCATTCAGAGCCACAAGTTAAGGCATACAATTAGAATTATATAAGTGACAAGAGTTGATGAAGGTTATTTCTGTACTAATTCATGACCATCCTTCTCATGCTATATATTGAAGGCATAGTTATGTTATTGTTATGCAGCCCTGCTGGATCAAGCCAAGACTTATGTATAACAAGGTTCACAATAATCAAATAAAATGCATCTGGAAAAAGCATAGGCTTGCAGAGAAGGGCAACAATTCCTGAGGTCCACTAGGAATTGATATTTAAGGTATGCTGCCTACGATTCAGTATCTTGAACTGGTATCGATTGCCAGGTCTATTTTCCATCAATTTATCCATCAATCAATAAAGTATCAATACATTAATATTTAATTAGTAATAGTTTATTAATTAATAGAGGAATAGGCCTGTCAATGGCTACCAATTAAAAGACTTATTTATTAGCCCTATCCCCCCTTAATTTATATCTTCTTCATATAATCTAGTGGTGGCTTTTATACATTTGAGGACATCAAATTCTATGGGTTGAATAAAAAAAGAGTTCCCTTTATTGGAACCCATCTGTCCACATGAGTGATTCTACTGTAACTTCGTTAGAATGGAGAACTTTCTTCTCTCTTACTTTCACATCATAATAATGTCCATATGTTGTTTCCCCTCAACTGCATTGTCTGTAAACCAAGATCCCCAATATTATAGCCTGTGTTGTAGATGAACTGCTTCAGACCCTTAATCAGTTTTGATGTACAATATCTTCTTTCCTCTATTGTGTCCACTTTGAGATGTGTAATTATATTGGTAACTTTATTTCCAGGTCCTTCCCAATAACTGCTAAGATGGAATTTGCTTTTGTGAAATCACCAACTGTCGTTGTTGTCCAAACCAAGAACAAAGTTAGAAGCTGTGTCCCAGGAATCCAGTAAAATTCCCTATGCCTCCAGGCTTGAAATTTTGGGCCTGGACAATCTGGAACTGCATCACCTGCAGTCCAATCTTAGCATAGTTCACAAAACTGTCTGCTATAACATCTTGCCTATCAACAACTTCTTCAGCTTCAATCACAAAAATACACAGGCAAACAACCGATACAAACTTAAGGTAATCCACTCCAAACTTGATTGCAGAAAATATGACTTCAGCAACAGAGTGGTCAATGCCTGGAATGCCCTACCCGACTCCATTGTTACAGCCTCAAGCCCTCACAGCTTCAACCTCAAACTGTCTACTGTGGACCTCACACCATTCTTAAGAGGTCCTTAAAGGGGGCGTACATAAGCGCACCAGTCTTACTGTCCCCATTTATCTGTATTTACTCCCTTTGTTCCTGTTTATGTTCATACTTATACTTGTTTTCTTGTAAATGTTTGACAAATAAACAAACAAACAAATAAATAAATAAATAAAACCCCTCTACTACACAGCTTGTACCACAGTTTTCTAAGTAGCTAATCCACCTATGCTTAAGGAACTGCTTTCAAGGCTGTCCATCAGGGTATTATCTTAATTTTATCTTAATTTCCATAGCCGACAAACCACAGCTTCTACTCTAGTAATTAAGGAACTTTTCACATTATTCAGTAGGTCTCTGCATGTATTGAATTGCCCATCTTGCAATATTCAGTTTTTATATTTAAGTTTCTAGTTTCCAAATTCAGAATTATCGGTAAAATCTATTTTCAGTAGAGCTGTGGATGTTTTTGTGACAACGTTATCAACACTTAATTCAAGGACTCCTGCCTTTCTGAAGACATTATTCAAGAAAGGCATGTAATAATCACCCAGCTATATTTTAAATCACATATGTGATGCAAGCTTAGCACAGAATTTAGGGAACTAAAATTTCCACACTTCGTTTTTATACACAGAGTATACAAATAGTCAAATGACTGATAGAGTTATTGCAACACTGAACAGCAAGGATATTATACATAATATCCTTCAATCAAAATATATTTTGATTTAGAACGATATAAGATAGCTTATTTTCCTGTTAAATAAATCTTATATGGTACAGTTAATAGAAGTATTGAGAGAGAGAGAGAGAGAGAGAGAGAGAGAGACAGACAGACAGACAGACAGACAGAGACAGAGACACAGAGACAGACAGACACAGAGAGACAGAAAAAGAGAGAAAGAGATGGAGAGAGTCAGAGAGAGAGAAGGAACTGCACTATTGTGCACATTTTGTATTTCCCTCTTCTGTTAAAATTCGATGCATTGTGTACAGTATTTCTTAGATCTGTTTAGAAAAAGAGTGACTCAAATGATGATCTTCACATAAGGAAAGACTTATTCTTATATCCCTTGTTGCGATATTAGATACTAACAGTTAATAGTTCAGAATTTGAATTTAGGAAGTTAAAAGTGACCACTAGTTGCTCCTCTGATTTATAAGAAAGCTTTTGAAAAGGCTTCACTGCTTATGCTCAACTTTGAGGAAACCAAAGACAAAAGTAGGCAGGTGAAGAACTTAGGGGTAACTTCTACCCACAACAGCTAGCTACAAATTAAAGATCCCCAAACTGTTAGGGTATTAACATTTTGCTGAAGCATGAAATAGATGACTTTTCAACTCTTGAGCTGATTTATTATCTTTCATTTTTCAGAGCATCCAAATGTTCACTGCAGATGTTAAGCTCCAGGGGAAGTACACATTGCAGATTTTTTTTGTGCTTGGAATTTTGCAAAGAATGCTCATTAATATGGTCATTTCTGTAATGACCAAATAGCTCTATTGAAAATTCCATATCTTGAGGCTTGCACACAATCTGTCCATAGTTAGAAATGAAGGATAAATTCTGAAAAAAAGGAAAGAGCCATTCTAGCAAAAGTTTCTCCAGTTAGGATGCAGTAACAAAAGTTATTCTGTAAAACTATATACAT